TGAAAATAAATCAACAAATCCTTTTGTGCCTGAATAAAGTGCTAATAATGGTACTGGTCGTCGACCTGAAACACTTGATAAATTAACAATAAGACCTCGTCGTTTTTGAAGCATATCTATACATATATAATTAAAAACAAATAAATTTTTTTATAATTATTTTAACGTAAAAATAATAGATAGACCTGGTAAAACCATTTGTGTTAAATAAGCAACTGAATCAACGTTACATCTAATCATATCATTGACAAGTTTTGCACTATTTTCAACTTTATCAAAAAATTCTGGATATTCATAAGACATTCCAACATTATTCACTAGAACACCAATATCCAGACCACGAATTTCTTCACGAATTGTTGTATAGATAGAATTGTCTTCTAGATAAATTCAAAATATAAATCATTTATTGATTTTTTTTTCTCGTTTTCATTTAATAAGTGTTTTTTATTTATTATTTTTTGATAAGACTTGTTTTTTTTTTGTTCTTATCTAAATCTTTTTTTTCATGCGTATCTTTAATACATATGATACTTATCTAAATATCCTATTCTAATTAAAAAACAAAAATCTTACTTGTAAAATCAATAGCAACTGTTTTAACTTGTACATTTGGATTTTTGCTTTGAATTTCTTTTGCTACTTGTTCTAATTTTTCTTTTGTTCGACTAATTAAAATTAGATTAAGACCTAATAAATATTAATAATTAATTATTGTTTTTTTCTTTTCTATTTTGGTCTTTTGAATTAATTTTTCTACCTCGTTTAGCTAATTCAATTGCATATGCTCTACCAATTCCATCTGTACTACCAGTAACCAATGCCCATTCACCAAATTTTGTTATATCAAGTTTTACTGGACATAAAAGTCGGTAAAAAAAAGCAGCAAGACGTGCTGCAACATAAACAAGTGCAAATGCACCAGTTGCTGCTAAAAACCCCATTGTCAAATTTTATTATTATTTTTTCCTTGCTTATTCAATGAATAATAATGAACAAACTAAAAAAAAAACATATTTGTTGTTAATGATCTCTAGACCAATGAAGTTGAATCTGTCCATAGAATATTTTCTGGATGAATAATAGAAGAAAGAAAGAACGTATTGTGTTTGTTCGTTTTGTATTTGCTCTTCTGTATATACATACATACATATATACATACCGTATATTTCTTGTGTCAAACATACAATAAATTCAACATCATGGCTGATTATCTTGCATCAATATTTGGTACAGAAAAAGATAAAGTTAATTGTTCATTTTTTTTTAAAATTGGTGCATGCCGACATGGTGAACATTGTTCAAAATTACATAATAAGCCAACATTTAGTCAAACAATATTATTAAAAAATCTTTATTTAAGTTTAGAAAATAGTTCACAAAAAGCAGATAAATCATTTATTGCAGATGAAATTACTGAAGAACGTATACAAGAACATTTTGATGATACATTTGAAGAATTATTTATTGAATTAGAAAGAAAATATGGTGAAATTGAAGAAATGAATATATGCGATAATTTATCTGAACATTTAGCTGGTAATTGGTTTTTTTTTCTTTTGTTTAAATTTTAAAATAGAAAAAATTCTTTTTTTTTTTTTTTTTTTAAGGCAATTGTTATGTTAAATTTCGTTTTGAAGAAGATGCTGAAAAGGCTGTTGTCGATCTTAATAATCGTTGGTTTGATGGACGTGCTGTTTATGCAGAATTAAGTCCTGTAACTGATTTTCATGAAGCATGTTGTCGGCAATATCAAATGGGGTATGAATTTTATTCGATCTTATATTAAAGCATATCGACCTTCATTTTTTTCTTTACTTATCCTATCAACATACTGTAATATAAGACATATTATAGTTAGAATGATTATGAAAAAAAAATATTATTGTGTTAATGCAGAAAAAAAAAGTTTGGAATTTGTTTTTCTCGATAGTATATCATTACATTGAGAACAAATCAAAATTGAGAAAGGCAAATTTTCATTCTTATCTAAAATCCGTCGGACCGATTAGAAAATTTCGTTTTGATCAATCTTGGTGGGATATTTAACCTGCAGACTGTTATCAACATTGTAAAAAAAATAAAGAGTAGAATAATAAGCCGTTTAAGGACTTATTAAATTGGCACAAATCCTAAAAAGGTTTATGAGACTAATAAACCCTATTCATAGGGTTTATTATTCTACGATTTTGTTTTTGTTTTACAGTAAATCGTGTATATCACGATAAAATACGATCGTCGTACTGCATCTACCAAACGCCAATTTTCGGGTGCAAACTGTAAAACGACCGTTTTTAGCCGTCTCGGCGATTGTAGTCATCATCCTGGAAGGCGCCTGGTCTAACCCAAAGGGTCATGCTCTAAAAGTAACAGCTAATTATAACTTTATCGAATAAATATCTCCAGATAATCGGAAAAAAAATTTCTCTTCTTTGGAGTAACTGTCAGACTTAATCTCGTTGAAATTAGGAGTATGGTTCTGAGTCCAAAAAAATCTTATGACCTTTCGAACGAGGTATGTTCAAATTCCAAAAAAAGAAAATGACCCAAATTTCCATCAGCTCGATAACTATATACTAATACAAATCAAAAATTTTTAGACATATTGAAAATTTCTGTAATTTCGGAAATGACATCATTTTAGGAAGTAGCGTTAAATTTAGAACACAAACGCTTGAAATTTCTTCTTTCGGAAGTCTGAACACTGTTATATCATGTATTATTGATTAATAATTTATAGAAAAACATAAGAATAATTTTATAATCGCTGAACATAATTTGATTTATTGACTTTGTAGACAAATATAGTGAAAAATCTTCTAATTGTTTTGTTTTTGTTTTTTTTTTTAGTGATTGTCCTCGAGGTGGTTTCTGTAATTTTATGCATTTGAAACCTGTAAGTGAATTGAATTCGTTTTTGTTTGTCTATGTATTTTCCGATTAAATAATTTGGTTTTTTTTTGTATTTTAGATTTCAAAAGATTTAAGAAAACGTTTATATCAACGACGTCAACGAAAAACTCGTAGTGATTCAAGATCACCATCTCGTGATCGTTCACGATCACGTGAAAAAGATCGTCGACGATAAATAGAAGAACAAAATAAATAAATAAATAAACTTTCCTTTTTGTCTTTTAATAAATTGGAAAAAAAACAAAAAAAAAAATAAATAAATAAACGTAAATTTTTTGTTGTTTATTCCAGATAATGAATGAAAATAATCCAAATACTAATGGTGATATTGATCGATGGGTTGAATGGATAAAAGATTGCAAATATTTACCTGAAACTGATTTTAAACAATTATGTACAATAATATCAGATATTTTTTTTGAAGAATCTAATGTGCAACCAGTCTTTTCACCTGTAACTATTTGTGGTGATTTACATGGACAATATTACGATGTACAAGAATTATTTCGTACAGGTGGTTATCCACCTGATACACAATATATATTTATGGGTGATTTTGTTGATCGCGGTTATTATAGTTTAGAAACTTTAACACAATTACTTGTTTTTAAAGCTAAATGGCCTGATCGTGTAACATTATTACGTGGTAATCATGAATCACGACAAGTAACACAAGTTTATGGTTTTTATGATGAATGTATGAAAAAATATGGAAATGCTAATTTATGGAGATTTTGTTGTCGTTTATTTGATCTTATGCCAATTGGTGCATTGATTGATAATGAAGTTTTATGTATTCATGGTTAGTTAATTATTATCATATATATTTAAAAGAAAAAAAAAATTATTTTTTGTTTCTTTTAATTTAGGTGGACTTTCACCAGATATTGGTACAATTGATCAAATGCGTACAATTGAACGTGATCAAGAAATTCCACATCGTGGTGGTTTTTGTGATTTAATGTGGTCTGATCCAGATGATATTGATTGGTGGGCTATATCACCACGAGGAGCTGGTTGGTTATTTGGAGAAAAACCAACAAATCAATTTATGCATAATAATCAATTAAGTTTAATATGTCGTGCTCATCAACTTGTTCAAGAAGGTCAGTAACTAGATGTTTTCGACAAAGTTAAATACGACAGTTCTTTGATAAACTAATTAAATCTTCTTAAATGATCATGAAAAAAACAAACCCTACTATATTGCTATTAACTTTTATCTGATTATACAGACTGTTAGTAGAATATATTTGTTTTTGTTTTTCAATCGAAATACCAAATGTATACTATAGATGTATATCTTCATTTTTATATTTGTCAGTCTCCTATCAGACTTAATGACTTTTGTTTATTGTCTAGGCAAATAAGAAGTCCATTATATTTTAATTTTTTAAAACAAAAACATGAAATCTTATGTTTTTCTTTCAATCATTTCTTATTTTTCCACTTTAATAATAACCTTTCTTAATAAATGATGAAGGTAGAGAAATACTATCAAATAAAAGAATAATAGATCAAATATTAACAATGAATTGAATATGATTTTCTTAATATAATAATATAAAACCAACAGAAAAATAATTTAAAGATTTCAAAGACATAAAAAGGAGAAAAAAAAAAGATTGATGATCAAAATTTCTTTTCCTCTGCGTTTAGTTTCTTCACATGAATGAATATCTGTATTTCTCATGGGACACATTAGCATTAATAGTCGAGATTATTCGAATATTTCTGTTTTTTTGTTTTCTAGGGATTAAATTTATGTTCGATGAGCATCTTGTAACGGTATGGTCTGCACCAAATTATTGTTATCGATGTGGTAATATAGCTGCTATACTTGCTTTTCATACAGCAACAAATCATGAAACAAAATTATTTAATGCTGTACCCGATAATGAACGGGTTATACCAGCTAAAACAACGACACCGTATTTTCTTTAATAAAAAAAAAAAATTAAATCTACAGAATTTTTTTTCAATTGTCTCTTTTTTTTTCTTTGTACCAACAGTGTTGCTTTGTGTATAGAACAAAAAAAAAAATATTTTTTTTCTTCTAGATTTTTTTTTTATATGAATTTTTAAATATGGATGCAGAAGATGAACAAAGTAATTATAAGAGAAAGTATTAAGTTTTTATCATATTAATTAAATTTTTTTTAAGGTCTCGAAGAACGTCTTCGTGCACAGAGTACTACTACTAATAATACTAATAATAACAATAATAATAATAATAATAATACAAATAAACCTTTAACAACTCGTGTAACAACATCAAGTGTTAAATCCAATCGACATACATTTAAAGATGAAAAAATTGAATCTCACACTGATAAAAATGGCGTTTGTTATCGAGTCGGAGGTGAGAAATAAAAAACATAATTGAAATTTTCAAAATCAATTTATTATCATTATAATTATTATAATTATTATTATTTAGATCATGTTTATTTGGAAACAAATAAACAAGCCGAACCATATTCAATAGCTTGTATTCTTGATTTCCGTTTAGTATGTTAAATAATCATTAATCATATAGCAAAATATTATTTTCTATTTTATATATCTAGACAAGAAAAGATCATGTTATGCTTGAAGTACGTTGGTATTATCGGCCTGCTGAAATTCCACCTAATCTTTATCATCTTCTTATTGAAGATCGTTATCATGAAAATCGTAAGTTTTACCTATAAATTATTTATTTGTTCAATATAATTCTATATTGCTTTTTCCTTTTTTTTTTTTTGCTCGATTCTTTTCCTATATACTATAATGCCAGTAGTGATGGCAGCGTCAGTCAATGTCTATATAAATCATTGTATAATGTGTATAGTAAAATGTCATTCTTTCTTGCTCTATCGTTCTTTTATATGAGGCGGGTAAAGGAACATATATCCTAGCACAAGAAAAAAAAACAAGTCAGACAAACGCGCACAATTGATAATCATCAACATCGGGTGTTATCTCTATCGAATAAGAGTCAAATCCAAGCTAATAATTAAATAGTAATAGAACCAATTAGTAGTCAATGTATATATGTGTGTGTCTGTATTTAATATATGAAATATTTCATTAAAATCTTTATTTGCTTTATATCGATTCATTCATATTTTTTTTTCTATCCACGAGAAAGAAAGAAAAAGAAAAACCAAACATTAGTACTATTCATCATCATCATCCAATATATATCATCAATAAGTATCGAGGAAAGAAAGTCGATGTATAATAATACATATATAAACACATTCTTCATATCTTCGTCAGAAGAACAATGTGTATATATATATGTTGTATGACGTGTATTACTACAAACGATTACTGGTTTTCAAGAAAAACTGTCATAGTTAGTCAAGTAAATTATTCTCTTGCATTCTTCTATTTTATCTATATTTCTTGCTTCTTTTTTTCATTACTTCATTTCTTCCGTTTTTTTTTCTTGCTCTTTCTGTGTGTTTTTTTTTTATGTTGTGTTGCTTATACTGGATTGACAGATTATCTTTGAGACAATAGATGTCAATCCGATTCATTTGGATGTAATTTGACTATGAATAGCTAAACAAAAATAATAATTGTAATAATAAAACGTTTTTCTTTTTCTCATTCTTCACATTCGATTAAAAGTTTAAATCGTCATCTATTTATATATATAAAGGAGCACATAAGGGTGTATGTTGATTGTTTGTTGCTCTTCTCGCTATTATGTGTTTGCCACACACACACACACACACACACACACACACACACACATACACGCTTGCGTCGAGTAGTTTGTCGTCGTTGTCGCTTTTCTTTTTTCTGTCTCTCAACAGGAGCTCCTGCTTACTCTCTTTAGCTGCCGGAGGGACAAATAGAAGAACAATATCACATCATTGTCGACGACAACGATGTTGTATATGGTGTCGTGTGTCGTTTTTCTTTTTCTTATTTTCCATTTGTGATTGATTTTTTTCTTTACTCTACTCGTTCGCATAGACATACATACTTAAGCGTACACACTATTACAGGTGAGTAAAGGAAAGTAATGTCATCATCATCATCATCATCATCGTCATTATTGTTATTATTATTATTATTTTTATTGTTTGACATAAGTCGATGTAATTAGTCGTGGACATAGCACATAGTCAACTATCATTACAATTCAATTCTGTTCAATGATACATATAAAGAAAAATAGATAAGAATGTTACTACTATTACTATTACTACTATTGACGAGAGTGGTATTGATCGGCATGTGTGGAGAGATTTCCTCTTTTTTTTCTCTCGACATATTGACGTCTAGTACTCATTGGCGATGGTAGTGTAGAGAATTTCTTTCTTCTTTCTTCATGCTCACCCTTCGTTCTTCGTTTTCTTCTTCAATTACATACTCCCTCTTTTACTTCTCTTCTCTCACGATATGTGTGTGTGTGTGTATGTGTATGTTCGCATTTGCATTGAGACTAGGCACATAGCCACTGTCAAATTATTGTTAGAGTGTATATAATTCATCGACGAAGAACGATGAGAGTCCAAAGAGAAGGAGAAAGAGAGCACATGAGAGGATAGAAAGGAGATAGCGCGTGAAAATGAGCGACGACCGACACAGGACTCGACGAAATGCAGATGATAATCAGTCTAGTGTAATCATTGATCGGCGGGCGGGCGATGGTGGCAAGTCGTTCTTCTCTCTTTCTCTTCTCTTCTCTTCTCTCTCTCTCTCTCTCTCTCTCTTCATTCTAACAACAATAATAGAAATCCTTTTAAGTAGCAGCGCGCATGTAAGCAAAACGAAACACAAGCAAAATATCAAATTTTTTCTTTTTCTTTTTTTATGTTGTTATAAGTACACGTTACTTTCATTCTCGTTTGATTGTGTTATCATTGTCAATATATATATATATATTATATATGTGTGTGTGTGTGTCTTCTTTATCATCATCATCATCATCATCGTTTTTTTTTTGATTTATAATCAAATGCATATGAAACTAAGTTTGTGTAATCATCATTATTCACTTCTTTTTTTTTTCCTTAGTCAAATTCTTATTGAAAGAAAAGAGACATCTTTAAATCCAACTTATTTGTTACATTTTTTGTTCCTTTGTGCTGTTGGTTATTTGACAATAACAACATCAATTACAACAAACGCGTCATCACCACATCAATTAAGAAATGTAGAAAGAAAGAAGAAGAAAAAAAAAAGAAAAGAAAAAAAAAGAAACATAAATAAAAAAAAGAGTCTTTTTCAGGTATTCATATTTTATGTCACTATATGGTATGCATATGCTTATATACGGGTTCATCGAGCCGAACAAACAGAAACATATCCGATACCATAAGTGATTGATTAATCGGATCAACTGACTTTTTTTTCTCGTTCTGTATATATTTATTATATGTTCGCATCCTTATTAATCGAGGTATCTCTCTTAGTTTTTCTTTTTTTTTCTTTTTCTATAAAGACCTTTTGTTCTATTCATTTATCAGAAGCAAAACATTTGAGTCAAAGATATATATATATATCTACATATATTCACACCCTGTTTTATCATTAAACAACAAACGATAGAGGATTGTATGTATTAGAATATAGTAGTGGCTCATGTCACAGTAATAAATAATATAATGTCTATAATATATCTATATCTCAACCAACCCGATGACGAGCGATGAATTGTTGCTGTGTGCATCGTCTGTTGTTTTCTTTTCCTTCCTCTTCAACGAACATTAGCATAGCGCGTTCGTGAGACGCTGTCGTGTAGCAAAAGGAATGAGAGAGCGCGAGCGCACACACACATATAGAGAAAAGAGAGAAGGACCGTGACACGACGCCGGTTTGTTCCTTATTAAGGTGACACTAGCAACAACGAGCTTTCTCTCTCTCTCTCTCTCTCTCTTGCTATGTATGCTGTTCTTTCTTTCTCTTCATCGTCTCTGTGTGTCCATTATGATTCGCGTTGATCTATTCACTTTCTTTTCACACTTAACATGCACATTTTGCATCATATACTTCATATATAAACGAAGGTAATTCATAAAGAATAAATGATGAAGAATTATTAGTTAAAATAAGCAACAAATTATCGATTTCATTTGTTTTCTTGTTGATACGTATATTATTTATTATGATTATATCTATCAGCATTATTTTTCTCTTTTCTTTTTTATTTTGCTAAGACTATTTGTCTTATCGCACTTGGCAAGTTGATCCTTTCTCTTCATATATATATATATATATATAGATATATATATGTGTGTGCATGTTATAATTTCTGGTTAATGACATATACAGTAGAACAGCAACGACAACTCGCGCGTCCTGCTAGCATTAATTGTTGTGTTTGAATATATATATATATAGATGTATATATGTTATATACCGCTTTTAATTCATCGACGAATTGTGAGTTGAGTAAAGAATAGAAGTTGAACACTCCTCTCAAGAGATCGGTCAAATGGGCGTGTCGACACGCGATCTTACATATTCTTTTTTTTTTAATTTCTTTTTTCTTTTGTAAAGTGTGTTCATTTTATTCTTTGATATAGATTCTTCGATTTTCTTTTTCAATTGATTGATCAGAATAACTTTTAAATGTCAATAATCTACACCTGATAAGCTGTCGTGCCGTGCTTCAGCTAACAGAAGGATGATTGATTAGTTTCAAGGACCGAGGCGAGCTCTCTCGTCTTCTTTTCTTTTCCTTTCCTTTTTTTTTTGCTGTTTCTTTCTCTATCGACTCGTTTCTCATTCTCTGCTTCATCCTACATCCTCACACTGCCTTTTTGATTCTGTATGTGTGTGTGTGTGTCTGTATGTGTGCAAGAAATAAGAGAGCGCGAATAAGCAAGCAGAGTAGTCGTTGTCGTCGTCGACATCATTTCCGTTCATTCATCTAAAAGAAAACTAAATTACTTGATGCTTTTTGTTGTTTTTATGTATAGAAAAAGAAAACGGTATATCTATATATATATCTATATATAAATATAAATATAAATATATTGATTAATATGTTTTATTTTGTTTCTTAAAGAGGGTAACAATCAAACATCATCAATTAAAGATAAACAAACGAAAGATTCTGGTATAATACAAGATCCAAATATTATTGGTCGTGAATTATTCGTATCGGAAATCAAAGAATTCTATCCGGCCGTACACATTAAGTAAGAAGAACATTTAAAACCTTATTGACTTGAATAAAGAATAGAACAAAAAAAAACGAGAAAAAGAAGCAAAAAAAATGACGACCGACAACTGTAATCTCTTGACAAGGAAAAGAGAACAAAGAATATGTAGTTATTGCGTACACACACAGATTTATATATATATATATAAAGATTTGTTTTGTCTATCTAAACATTTCTTCTTTTATTTAATTCAGAGGTCGATGCCGTGTTGCTCATTATCAAGATATTGAAGAAGCTCGTGCATTTAAACCTGATCCGGATACATTCTTTTATATATTAACATACAATCCTGAAGCGCGCAGACTGGCGAACACGCAAGGTGAAATACGTGTTGGCCCATCACATCAAGCCAAATTGCCACTTTTGAAATCATATTCATCGTCGTCATTAACAAATGGTATTAATAATGATGATTTATGTTCATTACGTGAAGAATTATTATGGAAAAATAAAACATCCGATATTGATTTATCCATGTATTTACAAGCAGCACGATCAATTGCAGCATTTGCTGGTATGTGTGATCGAGGTTTACCAGAAGATATGTATGAAGTAGCACAACGAGATGATACAACAATAAATGCATTAAATGTTTTACATAATCATGATTATGATTGTAAACGTGCTATACAAGCACTTGTTAAATGTCCAATACCAAAAGGTATTGATAGAAAATGGTCAGATGATGATCAAAAAAAATTTATTAAAGGTTTAAGACAATATGGAAAAAATTTTTATCGTATACGTAAAGAACATTTACCACATAAAGAAACATCAGATTTAGTTGAATTTTATTATTTATGGAAAAAAACTCCACAAGCACAATCAAGTCGTCCACGTCGTCGACAACGACCATGTTCAACATCAGCTAATTTATCTACAACACCAACACCAGCTAAACAACGTAATACAAAAACAAATAATAAAGATGAATCTGAACATAATTCTGATAATGATGATAATACAACAATAACAACAGATACAGATGAACAATTTTGTCGTCATTGTCAAACAATATCAAAAGATTTACAGCCAGGTGGACGTGATAGTCAACAATTATGTTATGATTGTCGAATGTATTATAAAAAATATGGTGAAATGCCAATTATAAATCAAGAACCACCACCATATTTATTTAAACCATTAAATGAAACAAGTCCAAGTAGTAGTAGTAAAAGAAAACGTAATAAATTTAAACAATCATCATCACCACCATCATCAACATCAACAATTGAAAAATCTGATGAAAATAATTCATCAATAAAACCTTCATCAACACGTTCAAAAAAGAAAACTCGTATTAATGAACAAACATCATTAATAAAACAAGAAAGTACAGGAGAAGAAGAAGAAAATATCAAAGATGAATCAATAATAAATACTGGAATCAAAATAGAAGAACAAGAAAATGAAAAACCATTAATAGGTATATATATATATGTGTGTGTGTGTGTGTGTGTGTGTGTAGAAAATGTTCACGGAAAATTCACACTGATTACACTAGATTGATGTTCACTGATTTATCTGACATCTAAAAAAATTTAGGATTTTTTTACGAAATTTAAAAATGTTCGTCTCATTAATATAAACTCGGAATCATCTTTGGTATTCTATGGAACCTTTTTTGAGTTTGGACGAAACCTAAAAAAATTCTTCGTACGGACAAAAACTCAGAACTTTTTTGGTTTCGTAATAAAAATTAAAAATATTATTTTTTTTTCTATTCATAGAATCTTCAGATTCGATTCCTACGACAACATCATCTGGTTTTCTAATTAAAGCCGAAGAATTATCATCACCAACACTATCTCAACCATTACCACCATTAATAACTAATGCAACAACATGTAAACAAGAAATAAATTCTCCATCATCAATATTATCAAATGGTGCTGCAAAAATAACAAATAAAATTCTTATTGATCATACAAAACAGACGAATTGTAATTTTATTCTATCTCCATCATCAACAATTAAATCTGAACCAATAAGTATAAATGAAAATTCATCAACACTTCATCCAAATTTATTACAATCATCATTATTATCTTCACCACGTTCAGCATTTTCACGTACATCAAAAACATCATCTATTCATAGTCCTGATCAACGACGAATACCTAAAGGTATATCAAATATTTCATTGTTTTTTTATTGAATTAATTCAAAAAAAAAAAAAACCAAAAATTTTCTTTTACTATATTTAGATGAAGAATTAGATTCTCCATCATCACATCGATCACAATCACATTCAAATAGTCTTAGTCATACACCAAAATCAACTTCGATTCATCCAACAATTCTTAGTGGTGATGTAACTCCATCATCTCTTAATTTACCATCGACAACATCAGCACCACCACCACCACCACTTCTTATTCCATCATCATTAAATGAATCAAAAGATAATGATTCGTTAACAACTGATATGACTGATGATGGAAATATATCAGATAGTTCAATGAGTGGTAATCATGAAATCAGTTCTGATAGTGGACCAGCACCATTAACATGTGAAAGAGGTTAGAAGAAAAAAAAACGAATTGTATTATAAAGCAAATATTAAACAAAAAAAACGTTCTTATTTCTCTTTTGTAGAATGTTATAATAAACCACAAGGAATTGTTTTATTACAAGTTTACGATCGATCAATATCGCAAAATTCTTGTGCACGCACCGATATTATACTTAAACGCGGTTCACGTGTACGTCAGAAACAACAACAACAGCAACAACAAGTATCATCAAATAATAATGAACAACAACAACAGCAACAACAACAACAACAACAAGAAATACCATCAATGCCTCCAATGCCATCAGTACCATCATCTGCAGCTATGATGATGATGGGACTTAAACAAGAAGTAGGAAATTTATCTGTATATCTATACAAGAAAAAAAAGCAGACAAATTCTTTATCATTTATCATTTTTATTTTTGTAATTTGTTTTAGAAATTACCCTTTTCTTTGGATAAAGGACCACCATTACTTCATTCATCTGGTCCACCACAACAGCCACCACCGTCATTTTCAACACTTAATCATCATCATGATTCATTATTAATGAATCGTAGTAGTTCTTTATTTCATCCATTACCATTACATGCTATACCCGGTGGACCTAAACCACCTGGTGCTGGTACTACTGGACCACCACCATTAAATTTTTCTTCACCTTTTGGTCCATCATTACATGATAATGCTGCTGCATTACGTCATCTTGATCCATTAGGTTTTCGTTTAATGAATCCTGCAGCTGCAGCCGCTGCTCAATTATTTGCTGCTCAATCACATTATAATACGAGTATTGGACGTCCAACTCCAGGCAGTTTTGATCCGACTACTGCAGTTCTTTTACTTGATCCTCGTTATCGTAGTATGATGTCACCATTTGGTACTCCATCCCCTTCATCAGCTATATTACCATCACCATCAAATAATACATCAGCATCCGCTAATTCTGTTTCAAATAACACACATAATCATTCTCATATTCATTCTCATTCACATACACATCTTCATTTGGGTAACACCAATGATTCACCGTCATCATCATCAAATAATTCAAATGGACCTACAATACCACCACCACCGCCACCATCAATGATGCCATTTGGTAATCCTCTTTCAGGTAAAATTTTTTTCTTTTTCTAATAAATTTAATTATTATATATATATATATAATAATAGGTCTATCTCATGGTGGACAATTGTTACATTCAGCTGGCCCACCACCACCTCCATCATCGATGTCAAGTCTTGAAGCAATGCATAATTTATCACGTGAACGTGAATTAATGGCATTTATGTTAGCTAATGGTGCACGATTTGATCCAATGGCATTAGCACTTGCTGCTAATCCACTTCAAGTATAATTATTATTCTTTATTTAATGACAAGAAAGCAAAAAAAAAATAATTATCTCATTTAATTATAGATGTCACGTCATGAAGATCTCTCTCGATTAAATGCACGAGAACGATCAATACGTGAACATAATGAAAATGAATTTCGTCGTTTCAATTTAGATATGGAAAGACAACAACAACAACTTCGATTTCCATTTCATCATTAAATCTGATGAATATAGGTCGGTAAATAGAAGAAAAAAATTCTTTTTCTATTAAATCGTTTCTTATTTATGAAATTTATTTTTTTTTAGACGATTCTAAATGATTATCTATTTGGTATACTCCGACAGTGAAACAAAACAAAACTTGTCTCAAAATTTAAAGAAGAAAGAAATTTCAAAAGATAATCTATTATCTAATCATTTCTATTATTCATTATGTAGATTAGTTTGCTTCTTCCGTCAATTATTAAAATATATTAAATAAGAAAAAGACATTTATCCTTTTGTACTCGGTGCTTTTCGCCGTTTTTCTCCTTGTCATATTTTGTTTATAAAATGTACAAACGATATCATTTTCTCTTTTGTTTTCTCTCTCTTGTACTTGTTGTGCTAGTTTGTTGTGTTGGTCTGTTTTGTTTTCGTTTTCTTTTTTCTCTCATTCTCTTTTTGAAAAGTATTTTGTTTGAATGAAACAAAGAAATTCTTATACTCATTATAATATACTTCATTATATAGAAGATCAGATAAATTTGCTTTTTTTTCAAATCCAAATACACCCACACACACGCAAAGATCATTTATTATAAAAAAAAAAAAAAAGAAATTGTTCGTTGTTTTTTTGTTTTAGAAATCAAGGCATGTCGAAAACCTGTTTAATAAAGAAGATTAGTTTTGCACATCTGTGTGTCGAAAAATATGGTCCTGCTAATAGACATAATGATAGCTAAGACAAATATTTACTTCATCATAGAAAAAGAAAGATAAAGTATTAATAAAAACGTGCCAAAAAAGAACAAGCATAAATGATTGTCACGCAAGGATTATAACAATCTATTCTTTTTTGCTTATTACTAAGAGTTACAAACGAGAATGTTGACATGATGATTATCTTAATTGCTTTATATATTATAATAATTCTAATGAATAAAAATGTTGTTTTTTTTTCTTATTTTTTTTTGTTTTGTCTTAGTTACTAATTTTCAATAAAGAATTTCTTTTTTTATTTAATAATTTGTTTTTTATGTAACCTTATTCGATGCAAACATCTAATATAAAATCAGAATTAAATTTTGACAATAGTGAATACAATCAAGATCGAAATTCATCACAAAATATCAATCAATTAACATGTTGTTTAAAAGATGCTATTTTTTCTAAATATATTTCTAATTATTTAATTGAAAAAGTAGAAAAGGTAAACGATTAAATTAACCTATTGAGTATCACTACTCGACCATGATAGCTAGAGATTTCTAATGAAGTGTGATTATTGTTAACAGTGAATACTAATCTTCCAGCAAGTTTTAGATTTCTTTTCCTGAATGATTCGTGAGATATAAACATTTTATTTCTTTTATCATAAAATATTAATAACTCTTGACTCTCCTCTATCAACAATACGATATTGAAGTGTTAGCTCTTAATAATTTTTCGCATACAACTATTTTACGATCGAGTGTTACTTTCGAAGTTTGACGTCTTCTTCCAAAAAAAAAACTCAAAGCTCAACTGAGGAATATTATTTTTACTTCAAAATTACATCAGGTACCCTAGAATGTCTTTCGATTATTGACACAAAATATGATGATTAACTAATATATGACTTGAGTAATTCATTGAAAATAAATACCCACTATTGAAAGATAAGAGTGAGAAACCAAGGATCATTCATTCTAGTATATTTTCTGTGGTTAATGTCGGTCGTAATCATGCAAAAATACGATAATTAAAATGTAGGGAAAAAATATTCATACGTTCAATATTGTCAACTTCCCATATACTTGCAAGCACACTAAATATCATATTTGAGATACGTTGACTATGCTACATCGTTACATCTCGAAAGACTTAATTTAAAATGAAAAAGAACTAGTACTTGAATTTTCATTATTAAAGATATGGATATTATATGAAAAACGTATTGATAAATTTCTCAAAGACAAACATCTTAATATAACTTGTAATCATATTCGTCCACAAGTGAGATATTCATAATCATATTATAAATATGAAAAATAATTCTTTTTAGACAGCTATTAAACTTGAAGAATTAATTAAATATGAACAAGAAAATATAGATGCATGTAAACGAAATATTGAAGTTATATGTTCTTCACGTAAACGCTTACGAAATGATGATAAATATTCAGTTCAACTACAATCAACTCAACGTCCACTAATTAGTTATAGTTCAACGCGTGTACCAAAAACACCACGATGTATTGATCGGTTGGAATTTGATTTTTTTTTAATTTGAAATCTTTTTATCAAAAAAAAACCGATAATTTTTCTTGTTTAGTTCTGATGTAACAAGTGATGTCTATAACGATAATATCGATGAATTAAATGATTCAAAATCAAATAAAATAATCAATCAAGAACTAAATGAATCTTCGTTAAATTCATCTCATCATAATTTTCGTCATTGTCTATTTCAACATGGTGAAATATTACCACTTGATCCAAATACAAAAACTCGAACAATAAGAATTACATACAGATGTAATAATTAAAATAAATAAATCACAAAAGAAAACCCGAATTTACATTTAAGTTTACTTTACAAAATTGCCAATGGCGTATTTCTTTTCAATTCTATTCAATGTAAAGAACTATTTTACATATTGCTCTTGTCTCGAACATATACGTAAAAAAGAAAGAGTAAACAGAAAAAAATCAATCTTATTTTTAAATCAATGATTTAATGTCCACATCAAGAAATCAGAAAGATTGATTGTAAACTAAATAACTCGACAATAGCAACAACTAGCAACTTGCGGTTTTCAGCAATCAAAAAACAAAAAAGGAGAGTTCGGAATGTTTTTTTCTGTCTGACATTATATACGATAAAATTATATTAAAAACTATCATTTTCACAAAATGTATGGAAACGATGTTCTGTTTCGATTTAACTTTGATTTTGACACATGCTTTAGATAGAAGGAATTCAGATCTATTGTTTAAGGAACGATTCATGTAATTATCTCAATATTGAGCAAACAAAATCGCGTATCAATACCTTTTTCATGCATTTTTTTGTTTTGTGAAAACCATGGATTTTAAAATAATTTTGTCTTTTATAGTATAAGATAAAAGAACGCCCGATGTTCTGCTATTTCGATTGTTGAAAACTGCAGATCGCTGTGCGAAGCACACGAATCTCGAATTCCGAAGAACAATAATATTTCATAAAAATCGAATAGTTGCTTCAAGGATTTATCGTAAATCGTGTTGTTTCGGCAAATGCTGATGTTTTACTTGAACCAAACAGTTTTTGTCGTTATAGATCGAAAAAATTATGTATCCATCAATCAGATATCTAACTTTCAACCAGCGTGAAAAGTAAGAATAATGAAATCCATCACTAGGAGAACTCTATCAATACCTATGAACAGATTTTTAAGGAACATTGCTGATTGATCGTTTAATTATCTATATGATTTATTATTTATAATCAGCTGTATTCTTATAAATAATGGAAATCATCGAATATGTGTATCAAATTGTAGTTGTAATCAACATCATTGTGGTCTACCAAATGAACGCTGTATACTATGGTCAACAAAATGTAATGGAGATAAGTATTTAGTCTGTTTTGTAAATTTAGAGAAATGTTTTTCTTTTTCTTTTTCTGTTTTTAGTTAATGATTGTGAAGATGGATTCGATGAACTAAGTACATGTCTACAACAACAATATACATCAACACAATTTCAATGTCAAAATCAAAATTGTACACTAATTTCATATGTTTGTGATGGTAGGAGAAATCTTTTTTTTTTTTTTTTGTAATATGATTTTTGTCTTTAATAGGAATACATTATTGTGGTGATAATATTGATGAAAATCCAAATCAATATCTTTCAAAAGTTTTCGATCGAGTGCTTCTACGATATACAACTTACAAAATACGCATGTTTTACATGACATCAATGGAAAACCGTTTGACGTCTGAAAAATGCATATCTTAGAGACACTCAATTGAAAATTTTTGAAAATTTGTGCATAAGATAGTCTCATGTGACCTTCATTTAACCAAAGTTTTCAGGCCAAAATTCACTAAAAAGTTAATATATTGGTCAAATCTTAATGTCAACATAAACCTTTTGGAGAATATTCTAGTCTATTGGCTCCTTACGACTGAACACAATATAGGCTCAAAAAGGTTTTAATCATTTGGGAACGTTCTCTCGTAAGTTATTGAAGTTTGCATATACAGAGAACTCAATTAGACTAGCTTTCAAAGGCTGCATGTTGCATACACTATCCATTGAAATGGATCTATATCTTGAAAGTTTGATATCTCGAAGAGATTTTGTTCAAAACTTATGAATTTTTTTATGGAAACTAATTTCGTTGAGTTCTCTATATGTGCAAAGTTTCAGATTAAAATTCAAAAAGACACTTTTCCTAAAAACCTGGTGTCTTTAGACAATCGATATATTAATAATTCGATAGCTTACAAAAGAACTTCTTCAAGTGTCAAATTCCTTGTCGATCGAGGCGATGTTCATTTGATGAATACTAGTGAGTCATAAAATAATCTAGAATGGTTGAGTTTTCCGAATCTTCATTCTTGAAATATCGAAGTTTTACTGAGATTTTCAACAAAAAGCTATAATTCTCTCAAGTCATGTGAGAGTTTCGACTTCAAACTTTGCACGAACAAAGTTCTTAATGTGATTAACTCATTGAACAAGTTGTAAGTTATCTAGTGTCTTGTGTCCTGAGACATAGAATATTCGAAATTCCCTCATGTGTAAAAGGAAAATTTTTTTCATATATTTACATACTCAAAAAGAAAAAAAAATTATACAATCGGCTAATCTCATTACGAACATCGTTCATACAAAGTTTGGAGTCGAAATTCTAACGTGACTTGACGACGACCATCACAGCTTTTTGCTGAAAAATTCAGTAAAATTCCGATATCTGAAAAACAAACATCCGAAAAATCAAACCATTTTAAACTTTTCTATTACTCACTTGTATTCATCAGATAAAT